GATGGGTACAGAAGAATTTAATGAAACATCTGATCAAGAGGCAGTGGTGATGAAAGAGGAAGTTCAAGATGCTCTGAAAGAAATGGCTAAAAAACGAGGCTTCAGTAATTGATGGAATACTAACTGACATCTTTCAGCAAACTGGTGCTGCCCTAGCACATCTGTCAAGAAACCTGGAGGAAAGCTACCTGGCCAGCTAACTGGAGGAGATGCAAATTTATTCCCAATACAAAAAAAAAAAAGGTGATCTAATAACAGAGTATGAAAATTATCGAACAATATCACTAATACCACACACGAGCAAAATCTTGCTGAAGATTACCCAAAAACGACTGGAAAGGGACATCAAGAGAGAATTGACAGAGTGCAAGTTGGGTTTAGAAGAGGCTATGGCACTACGAATGTCATAGCCAATCTCAGATGGATCTTAGCTGAAAACAGAGTACCAGAGGAATGTCTGTCTTTGTTTCATTGACTATGCAAAGACATTTGAATGTGTGGATCACAACAAATTGTAGCTAACCTTGAGAAGAATTGGAATTTCAGAATACCTGATAGTGCTCATGTGAAACCTATACTTGAAACAAGAAACATCACAACAGAGCAAGGGAACACTGCATGGTCTGTCTCCATACCATTTCAATCTATATGCAAACCAGATTATTTTAGGGGCAACACTTTAAGAGGAGGAATGTGGCATCAGGATTGGAGGAAGACTCATCAACACCCTGCACTATGCAGTGAGCACAACCTTGCTTGACAAAACTGAGGAGGATCACAAGTGTTTGCTATAAAAGGTTAAGGGCTGCAATCTCCAATATGGATTGAAGCTCAACAAGAAAACAAAATTCTTACCACTGGGTGAATTGGAAGTATGGTGATAGATGGAGATGAGATTGAAATTGTTGACAGTTTCACCTTGCTTGGTTCCACAATGAATACTCTTGGCACCAGCAGTAAGAAAACCAAAATATTAATTGCATTGAGTAAATCTGCTGTCAGGTACTCTCCAGAGTGCTGAAGAGCATTGATGTCAGTCTAGAGACTAAGGTGTGCTGCCTAATCCAGGCCATGGTCTTTGCAGCTATTTGTTGCATGTCAGAGAGGTGGACAATGACTGAGGATGATAGAAGGATAATTCATGCCTTTGAGTTGTGGTGCTGGAGAAGAGTATTTATATTCTATGGACTGCCAAGAGATCAAACAGGTATGTCCTGGGAAAGGTTAAACTAAGTTGCTCCTTGGAGGCAAGGATTTTGAAGCGGCATCTGACATTGGACATGTTGCCAGGAGGGATCAGTCCTCAGAGAAGTACAATATGCTTGGAATAGTAGAAGGACAGCTCAAGAGAAGACCCTGGATGAGATGGATTGACACAGCAAATGGGGCTATGACAGCAGGAGTGTGAGAAATAATGAGATTGGCTCAGGATAGGACAGAGTTCAAAGCTATTGTACGCAGGGTATCTATGAGTTGCAGGCAACTCAGTGGCACATAACAACAACATACATTTTATGAAGTTTTGCTTTACCACTATTCCCAAGAACCCACAAAAACCGAGTAATTTTAGAGTTTATAGGGTGTACTCTCTCAGATACAATGTTCTGAGAAGAAATAGAAAATTATTATAAAAAATGTATATGTTCTTTATTGTCAATTTGGAACCAACCCGTGGGTGGCCTTCCAGTGGATTTTAGGAGGCTATAAATCATTCAGGAGGAGATTTCCCATATTTTCTTCTGTGGAGCTACTGAGAATCCAATCAACAGAGATAATCAGTACAATTCCCTATCCACTATACTAGCAGTGCTCCCATTAGAGGCAACAATTAGTACTACTCTATTTCTCAAAAGCAACAATCTTATTCAATCAAGATGAAGGATTACTGTATTTATCCAGCATTTTAAAAAAATGTATTGTTTTTCAAAGATTTTCCCCTAAGTTGAATTTCCTTGAAGAAATCAAGATTGAATAAAATTTACTTTCTTTGATCTTTTGCATTTTTGAGCTAAAATCCAAGCATAAATGATATTTAAGGACTCTGGATTCCAAGATTTTGAAACAATTCACTAGTTGGTCATGATACTAGCCACTACATAGGTAACCTTTCCTCAACTCCCGTTACTCTTCCATTCAACATAAACTTTTCTCCACTGATTTAATCCAAACAAATAGTTTGTTTCATTGGTTTTGGGACTTTTTTTTTTATTTCACCTACCCTCCTCTCCTTTAAAGAAGTCTGACTGATTTTAAAGAAGGATACAAAGAATAAACAAGAAGAAAAAAAAGATTGCCCTTTTCTTGATCTGAGTTCGAGCAGCTTGACTGATTTTTACTTTTTAGTTTTTCTTGCCACTGAGTCATTGCACATACAAAATTATGAAACTTTAATTTCTTTAGAGACTTGTTATAGTAGAAAAATTGTTCCAAAGAAAGCAACAATCATGACATAAGCACATCTGGCTCTTGCAAATTATTCTTTATTAAGCTTTCATTTAATTACATGTGCTGAAAGGTCTGTTTTTGATTACTGTAATTTTTTTTTATTTGTCCATCTGAATGATAGTAATGCTGGAAATTACATAAAACCACCTGTTTTTTCTCTCTTAGTAATATAACTAAGTTTGAGCTGCTTTCTCTGTGACCAATGAACTAGGAAGCTTTCTATTTATTGTGATAGAAATTTGACTGTCAGCATAATAACTTAATGTTGATAATAAGAAAATAAAATAATTGAAGGAGATTTCAAGCATGAAAAATAATGTTAAGATTGGAGTATTTGACTTCTTGTTAACCATAGCAGATTAGCACATTTGTTTTCAATTTCACTCAAAACTTAATAAATTGACACTTAAGAATCATAGATGCAAACCTTCAAGCACAAATAGAGAAGATAGAGGTTTTTTGGAAGATGAGAAATGAATAGATATGTAACTATCTAAGCAAAACAAAGAAAATTAATCCGTCAGCTTTCAGAGGGTAGAGCCAAAAAGTAATCAAGCTCAATTTGGAGCAAAAACAAATGCTTAGCAACTGAAAGCATTATCTATCATTAAAGACAGGTATAAAAGGTGGTGCTATTAGATTTGTTGTAAATAAGTATAAAGAACTATTAGTGCTGCAGATTCTGTTCAAGCATCCTACTTCCAGGTTAGCAACCATCTCTACTGTCCATTCCACTGCCAAGTACATAACAGAAAAGTGGAAGTTTATTCAGACCAGATTCTTAAAAAAAATTTTAAAAAAAAAATCTGATCTGGAGAACAATGTATTCAAATTTTGTAAATAAACTAGTATAATAAAAAAAATGAACTTTTGATGAAGTCTTGGTCTTTGGAACGTCAGGCATAACTGAGAGTGAATGATGGCACCATTTTGAACACAGTGTCTACATGGTAAACTATGTCACAGATGTTTTATAGTGATTAACTCACTAAATAATGGCATAACCACGAAGTTCAATGAAATAAGAGACTTGAAAGTAGCAATGTGAGATAATGATACCAACCTAAAGGAAATAGCCCTATAGACATGTACAGTCTCCCAGTGAAATAGCTGACTCTACACCATTGCCTCATATTGGCACATGGCAGGCAAGAGTCTACTTCTATAGTCAGACTTTCCAGTCAGTTTTTTAAAGTGTCACTATTATATATGAATAAACAATTAAAGAACAGCAGATACCTACAAATGCCTCTAATATTAAGGTGTTCAGAGAACTTGAAGGAAAAGAGGAACAACAATGCATAGAGCAAATATATAAGAGCACAAAATAAAAAATGCCCAGACCCATAACCATTATCAAGTAGAAAACAGAGCAGGATGCTATGAAAGTAAGTAATGAGAAAGTAAGAATATTCCCTTAAAATTATAATAACAAGAGTTAAAAAGCTGTGGAAATAAAATGTAAAAGTCATTGTTAAAGAGAAACTAGGGGATCAGCTCTTCAATATGAAGGAAGCCCTTTGTCACTTTCTTAGGGTTGAGATGCAAGTGGGTACTCCCAAGTGCTAGGCAAAGCAAACTTGATCCCACACCCCCTTCCACACTCTCTCTTGAGGATTGTGCTGTAGAGTTGAGGATTGTGTTGCATAGATAGAAGATCCTGAAATGAGTAATTACCTTTGAATCCCAGGGATCTTGGGAGCAGCACTCTTAAGAAACAGAAAGACTGACTTCTCCAGGGATGTTTGGCCACTACAGCCATATCTTATTTTATTGTACTTTGCTTTACTGGTTTGGAAATAGTGCCAAGAGTTTTAGTTTGTTTTATTTTCCAAATCGGAAGGTTTTGGCCAACCTTGCATTAAAGAAGTCAATCAGTGTCATTTTCCAACAGCATGTGCTCACTTTGTGTTTCCGTCACATTTAGGTAATTCTCACAATATTTTAAACTTTTTAATAAATGCTATTTCACACTTAATAGACTACAGAATAATGTAAATATAACTTTTATATGCACTGGGAAGCCAAAATGGTCATGTGACTCACTTTATTGTGGTGATCTGGAGCCGAACCTGTAATATCTCCGTGGTATGCCTGTACTAAATAGAAAATATATGGTTCTTCCAGGAGTCCATAGAAAATTTTAAGGTAACTTTTTAGGCCATGAATATTAAAATTGCATAAATAGTAAGATGGAAAAATTAAGATTTTTTTTATAAAGACATTACAGGCACCAACAGGAATGTTTAAAGATCAATTTATTCAAATTACTTTTTATTCAGATTTATAAAGCTGAGTTCCAGACAGTATGATCAGTCCTTTGTTTAGTATCATAAGGTATTTTATAGAAGAACCAAGAACAGGACCATGGTTCTGATACTATTTCTTGTTCTTTCATTATGTTATGTTGTCTCTTATTTTCCTCTTTGAAAAATAACAATAGAGGATAAATCACAAGACTGTCAGAAAAAATAATTAACAATATAGTAAGTTTTACTGAAACTCCGTTTTGGCTGCATTTAAAGAGATCACTGTTTGTCTTCCCTGTTTTGCAGCAGCTCTATGCCGCTCAGCTGGCCAGCATGCAGGTGTCACCTGGAGCAAAGATGCCATCAACTCCGCAGCCACCAAACACAGCAGGGGCAGTCTCACCTACTGGGATAAAAAATGAAAAGAGAGGGACCAGCCCTGTAACTCAAGTTAAGGTACTTGCTTTGCAGGATTGTGGAAGCAGTTTAGAAAATAGCATCACAAGAAATGCAGTGTGAACCAGTCTGTGTTGGGAATAAACAGCAGGAAACGTAGCAACATAAAGGAACCCCAAAATGCTCCTCTTTATGGTAAATTTCATGATTGAGCATTGAGAAACAGGTGTTTCCCTTTTGATAACAATAGTGCCATATTGTGAGATCTTTACCTAAACCCACAAACTAATGTCTCAAGAGTTTTTCCCTTTGGATTCTGGCTTTTATTTTTTAAATGCTCATTGGCATGAATGGTTCTCGCTTTATTGCCAGTCTTTGTCATAGTCTTGTGACACTTCTCTCCATGTTCTTTAAACAGGTGGGGAGCCAACTTATACTACCAGAGGTGGAGATTTTAAATCTCAAAAGCATAGATTTTGAAAAAGGGGATAAGGATGAGTCTAATGCTAGACTTAAAGTTAAACATAAAGTTAGACATAAAGTTGATTGATGCAAACCTGTACTTAATATTTATAAATGTGGGCTCAGTAAGTAACATCATTACCTAGTTATGCTTTTGATGACATACAATTATGATAGGATAAACAGGCTCTCCCAAATTAAGGGAGAACACTAATAAATGCTTTTCTTCACGTATTTCTCAGTTTCTTGAAACTAGGCAACTAGGAGGCACTTTGCGACAGAGGGAAATAGATGTGGTATTCCGACGTCGTGCTGCAGCTGGTGCCTCTAGGTGGTACCAATTGGTTTTATGGTTTTCTTTGTTTTCTATGTTGAATTACTAAATGAAAACAGTTTTAAAAAACCCAAACACAAGTTTTTAAAAAATAAATTATTTAATTGAAAAGTGTGCTAAACATAGACTTTAAAACTGTTAACTCGGTGAAAATACTGCATGTGGAGAATTTTTGCAGTTATTAGATCTTTCATCTATGAAACACCAAGACTAACAAAAAGTCAGCTTTGGCTACTACAACACTAATTGGATTGCTTTATTTCCTAAAATTTGCAGATTGCAATTTTTAGATAAACTCTTAAAAATACAGATTCCAAATACAGAAGATCAAAAAAGAGAACATCATTAAGAGAGAAAGTTCTGCTTCTGCCCTTACTCAAATAATTAATGGCATTCGTTCTTTTATTGGTGTTGTTGTGTTTTGAGGCATCAAAACGCATTCACAGCAGAGTCAGGTAATCACATAGGAAGAGAGTTCCCATCTTTCTGTCCTCGAGCTGCTGACGGATTCGAACAAACTGCGGGTCCTTTAGTTGGCAGCACATCTCTTTACCACTAAGCCCCCAAAGTGCTTCAAATAAATAGATAAAAATTTCTATTTTTTGTTAGAAATATTGAGATATGACATGTTTTTATTTCCTGAGACAGCATTACATATGACAACAACCTGTATAATTGATAGCCCAAACGATGTATTTTTGAAAAAGGATCAAAACATTACAACTCAAACCAAAACATTTTGTTTAACCATAGTTGTTAGAGTATGGATGGATCAACATCAGTAACTTGGGCTAGGGTGTATTAAATATTTTAATGTAAAAGTGTCATTTTATGAGTGAGTTGGCCAAATGGAACTGTACCAAACCAAGTCTTTACTGGATGAGTAAAATGTTCCCTGGTTAAATTCAAGTTTATATCTGCTTTTACCATTCCAGCTTTGTGGGCCAACTGAATTTTATTACTCACTGACCACATGCAAATTCTTAGGGAATGCTATATATAGTCTGAGTTCACTTTATTTTTATGTTAATAACAAAGGAAACATTCTTTATACTTACTAGACCATTTATGAGTGTATGGATACAATAGATATAGTTCAAGATACAACAAACATTTGTATAAAAATGGACTGTATCTCCTGTCTGTAACTGATGAAGCTTTGAGAGCAATCTCTTAATTTGCTATTTGGAAGAATTATGATAACCAAAATATCTCATGTTTCTCTCTATATGTATTGCTTTACCTCTGTACATAGTAAGACCACACATTTTAAATTTAAACATGAAATACTTGGCAGAAAGTAACAAAAGTAAGCTTTGTTGGTCTTATATATCTTCATTTCCCTGGAATTTTTACTTTAAATGTAATATTTAGAAGTCAGATGTGCCTGTTGAAATCCAAGTTGTACCTCTCTTTCTAGCTATACCATCTTGGGCAATGTTTCTAATTCTTTCAGCCTTGGTCTTCACCTCTGTAAAACGACAGTTAATATTACTATGAACTTCAAGTTGCAAAATATACCCATAGCATGTGATGAGTTTTTATAAATGTTAATAATGATGATGATAATGATAATAAAAGAGATGATGGTAGTAGTAGTAGTAGTAGTTATTCTGATTGAAACATAGAATTGTCTACTAACAACTACATGAGCTCCGGTTGTGTAATCTATAGGGAATTGCGCTGCTAATTGAAAGGTGGCGCCTTTCTGATAGTTCAAATCCACCAACAGTTCCATGGAAGAAAGATGGCCAAACCATTATGCAGTTTACAAGAGAAGATTGCGAGAGGGTCAACTAGGAATCATTTCCAACTCTATTGCAGTGAGTTTTGAGTGATATGAACTACTAGCAATGATCTGCGTTCACTTTCAACCCTAATAGAGAAAAGGAGATAAAATTTGTCCTTCATACTTCAGCAACTAAAACTCAGGACAAAATATTTAAGAAGATGGTTTTAGCATACTTGATAACAGGACAGTAAACCTGAGAGAAGGAAAACAAATGAAAAGTGTATTGCACTTTTTCTGGCTTACTGCATGTTGAGACTTTACTGGCATATGTCCGTGTAGAACTTCAGCAGCAATCTGAGTTTTGGAGTGACTGACTAGAAGAAACTGTTCAAAATTTAGAGATGCTGAAGGAATATCATTTATGAGGCAGCTTATCAGAGAAGAGAGTGCTGCACAGAGAGAGAGAGACTCCTGAAGATGTAGACAATTCCCTTGCGTCTTTAGCTGAATATTGATCCACACCTGCATGTGAGGAAACTAGCTGAGAGCAGAGAACAAGCAGTTGGATTTAGCATGCAAAACAACTGCAGAATTTACAAGGAACTGGAAATAGTTTTTGTTTCTATCAACCAGAATAGAAAGATGTTCCAACATTTGGATATCAAAGAGTTTCCAGAAAGGTATTAACTCCGCACCAAAACCCATTGCCATTGAATTGACTGCATCTCATAGCAAACCTGATGGACAAACATGAGCTGCTTCATAGGATCTCTAAGGTTGTCAGTCTTTACCAAAGGAGATTGCCCATCTTTGCATTGTGGATGGATTCTCTTGGTGGAGTCAAACCACGGACCCTTTGGTGAACAGCTGAATGAATACCTTTAACCACAACACCAACAGAGCTATGTTATCTCCAGCAACTCAAAACTCATTGCTGTTGAGTTGGAACCGTCTCATAGCTGACCCCCCAGTGAGTTTCTGATGCTCTAAAAGGCATGGAAGATTGTCCACCTTTCTCCTGTGAAGCAGCTAACAGATTTGAAACAGCAGAGAGGTGTGGCCTTTGAGTTAATAGTGCAGCTCATTGTGGTCTAGACGACCATAGTTAAAAGAAATTCGTCTTAGAGTCATGGTTATTCTGGAGCTACATATCAAAGCTTAAAAGGAAGCCTGTTGGTTTTATTTTTGTGAGCCATCACAGAGTGGACTCCTGAGTCATAGTGACCCTGTACATTACTAAGTAAAATTACCCCATGAAATGTGCTTCATAGATATTAAAATCTGGTCAATACTGTGGGCCAATAAATGGCCTAATGCACATGGAGACCTCACAAAGAGGAAGAAGGAATAAAACAAATGTGTTGGGAGAAGTGATCACCCCAAAATTTCCAAATTTGACTGTAAACTCAGATATCTTATCAATGAACCCAAAATAAATTTAAAAACACTAAGTAAGGACCTGACATATAAATTACTATTACTTATATATGAATAAAGGGACTAACTAGTTTCAGTATCTTGAATTTAGCATAATATGACTATTTCTGGGAAACTTCTCCTATGTCTAGATACAGATAATAATACGTTAAAGCAGGTTATTGTTGTTGTGTGCCATTGAGTGAGAGCCAACCCATAGCTGATCCTCTTTGGGTTTTCAGAGGCAGTTAGTCAAATGGAAGGAAATTGTCCATCCTTCTCACCTTTGCAACACATCGAAGTATGTTGTGTTGTTGTTGTTATTAAGTGCCATCGAGTCACTTGTGATTCATAGAGACCCTATGTACAACAACCCTAAACCCTGCTCTGTCTCTTGCCAACCTTATTATCTCTGACACATCTATCCCCAATACCCCAGTGACAGAATCAATCCATCTTATCAAGGGTCTTCCACTCCTGCACTGTCCCTCCACCCTCTCAAGCATGACATCCCTCTCCAAGGACTGATCCCGCCTTGCAAAATGCACAAAGTATGTCAAGCGAAGCTTCAGATTCTTGCCTCTAAGGAGCAGCCTGACTCCTCCCTCTCCAGAACAAACCTGTTTGTTCTCCTAGCAGTTCATGGTATATTCAACACTCTTTTCAGCACCACAGCTCAAAGGCATCAATTCTCTTTCTATCGTCCCTAGTTATTGTCCAGCTCTCTGATGCATAGCAAGTAATGGCAAAGATTATGGCCTAAATCAGGTACACCGTGGTCTCCAGACTGTGTGCTAAATGCCCTAATTTTTTTATCAAGACTAAACACTACTACAAATAATATCTCAGCAATGATTGAAAGCACCCCATTGGCACAGTGATTAAAGCATCGGGCTGCTAACTGAAAGGTTGGTTGTTCAAATCAACTGATACTTCACAAGAGAAAGTTGCAGCTATCTGTGTCTATAAAGTTGTGTGTTGGAATCAACTTGCCAGCAACAGATTTGGTTGGGTTAGGGTATGATTACATTATCAAACAAATTACTTCAGCTTACTGACAGTTGAATAGAAAAGGAATCTTGAATTTGGAACCTATTAGTCTCAAATTCTAATTCTGCCTCTCTATGTACTTTGGAAGGTGATTTTATCACTCTGTGTCCCCTACTTTCTCATGTGTTAATTTAAAATACTACTGTCAACCTCACATTTATTGTTGTCTAAATGAGCTGGTGTATGTTAAAAGGCTGAGTCCAGTGCTTGCTATTTATTGACCCCTCTCTGCACTTTATTTTTATCTTCTCATTTTACTTTTACTTATATTGTCTACTAACCAAATATTATATTCAGATTTCCATTTTTGTTTCCCAGTAGTAAATGGTTCTTAGTATCAGAAAATATTTTCGAGATCATGGAGTATCAGGCTTTCATTTTGCAGGTGAATGACTTGAGTCTCAGCAGGATCTGATGTTTACAAGTGGGAGAATATTCTTTTTCTAAGTTCTTCTGTGTGTTCTGAACAATGACATTGAAAACAAGTTGTCTGCAAGTTCTCAGAAACAAAATGGATTTAACATTTGCTGACAATTTTATTTCAGAGCACAGTAATGCTGATCTTAAAACTGAACATTTAAATGAATATTCTTATATTAAAACTGAATTTCTAGAATGATAGAAGTGTTGTTAGGAGTGTTTCATAGTAGGAAAAATAAGATAAAATAATGGGTAGGAGGTGAGCTTTCAAACTCCTGTCTAAACTAGAGTTACAAGCCAGATATTTGAATACTGTACTCAGTGAAGTCCAATACACTGTCTTAAAATAGACATCTCATAACTACATGTAGCAAAGATGAAGAGACATCATTTTAAATATGAAAAATAAATTGCATATAGTATAGTATGTAAAATGTAATTATAATGTGTGTTTTCCCTTTGCAAAAATTAATTTTAAACATGAATAAGGACCAGAATACAGACCATGCTGAATGCCCACACCCATAAAGCCACATAGAAGCTGTGCTGTGGTATGTGGCTTCCTGGGCAGGGGCCCAGGAGATCAGAAGAAGGCTTTCCATGTTTCCATTTTTAAAGTACTTACAATTGTTTGATTTAAAATATATATTAAAAAATTAGCTGCAAATCCTATTTATAGTTGCAGGAACTTTTTCTGAGAGAATAACACAAAAGCACTACAGAGCTGCTGAAATTTTAAATAATTCTTTGTAAATGCCCTAGGTTAATTTAGATCCCTGAAAACACATTAGGAAATTAAGCTGTAATGTGAGCTAATTCAGATTTTAATTTGGCAAAAAGAATGATCCAACTACACAGTTAATGTAAATATAAGCATAACACAGGGAAATTAATGAGGTTTCCTTCCGATGAATCTTCAAGGAGGTAGATAATTAGCTTCTTTTGTTATTATTGTAGGAGAAGGTGGCATTGTCTCTGAGGTGTAAAATAACTGTGGCTTACTAAGTGATAATGTGCTTCATTTGTCTTCCTTCTTTTAATAATTATTTATGTTAAACTCTTGCAGGATGAAGCAGCAGCACAGCCACTGAATCTCTCATCCAGACCCAAGACAGCTGAGCCTGTTAAATCCCCAACATCGCCCACCCAGAGCCTCTTCCCAGCCAGCAAAACCAGCCCAGTAAACCTGCCAAACAAAAGCAGCATCCCTAGCCCCATTGGAGGAAGCTTGGGAAGAGGATCCTCTTTAGGTAAATGGAAAGGTCAACACCAGGAAGAGACTTATGAATTAGGTAAAAGAAAGCAAACCTGTTTAGTGATGATTAATCTTTGTTTCTAAAGTATTGCTGAATAAAAGATAGAGGTCTTTTTTATTTTTTATTTTTTTTTTTAATTAAACCTACCCCAGTTTCTTAGAGAAGGATATGATGCTTAGAAGGGTGGAGGGACAGTGCAGGAGAGAAAGACACTGGATGACGTGGATTGACACAGTAACTGGGGAAAAGGGGGGGTAGGTGTTGGAGACAACAAGATTGACTCAAGTTAGAGCAGGATCCAGACCTATTGTAAATAGGGTTGCTGTGATTTGTAGAACGCTCAACAGAACACAGTAACAACAAAACAACCACTCAATAAATATCTCGGATGATTAGAAATTTTGGAAAAGGTCATAAAATAAATCCTGCTAGAATGGCCAGTTACTTCTAGAAAGAGTACAATTGTGATGAATTCGATTCCCAAACCATAGGCAGGAATTCCTGTATTTGGGAAATGCTGCCATACTGAGGTGACTCTGGGCAGCCCAGAATACCCATGGAGCCTCTAATGGTGAAAGCTGCCTGCCAAAAGTACAAACTTTCTTTTAAATTATCAATTTTTTTAACAAAGTATATGTGAATTTTACATCTTATCTCATATTGGTTTTACTTTATAACAATAAATTATATAATGTGAAATAAAATTGTCATCTTGGAAGATATGTTGTAATCATCTTCTGGCTTCTTTCAAATATGACCCCGTAAAAGTTCTATTGTATTTTTTAAAAAAATATTTTATTGTGCCTTAGGTGCAAATTTACACAGCAAATGAAGTTCCCATTGGACAATGTTTATACAACTTTTCCCGTTACATTTGTTGTAGTTCTCAGCATATGCCAAGCATTCTCCGTATTTCCATTCTGTCTGTCTTGGTTCTGTTGATTTGCATTCTGCTCCCTGCCTTCCCCTCTCACTTGCTTTTGAGTGCATCTTTGGTCTCATGGATGGTTGCTTAGGGGAGCATGTTACTCATGGTTGATAACTGTATTTTATAAGCCAATATGTTATTTGACTGATAGGTGCCCTCGTGGACCTATTTCAGTGCCAAGTTCAAAGGGTATTGTAGGGCAATAGTCTTGGGAATTCTTCTAATCTCTATAAGCTCAGTAGTTCTTGCCTTTTATAGGAATTTGAATTTTGGCTTACATTTTTCTACCATTATATCTGGGACATTATACTACTGTATCCTTGACAAGAATATTTTTAATATTTTTGTACACAGTTTCCAATTTTGTGAAATGCAAATATTTTGATAGATTTTCCTTAAAATCTGAAAGTTAATATTCCTCTGAAAGTTTTCATAAGTCAAATTGTAAAAAATGAAGAAACAATTATTATTAATTTACATAGAAAAAAATTTTTGAAAAAAATAGTCTGCCAAATAACCTAGCAAATCATATCAAAATAACATGTAAAACCTAAAACAACTCTAATACATAGTGTTTTCAGGGAAAGCTCATAGCCGTGTTGGCTCGGCGCTGAGATGTTCGCAGTAGTTACAAGGGAAGAGACTTGGTGACACCATCCTTGCCACATGGGCTGTACTCTGTCTCTTTAACAGCTTGTTGTGAAAAAAGTGGTGAACACTAGCTTTGCTTTTTCAATCTCCCCCTATAAAAGCAAAAATAATTTTCTTCTGTTTAGCAAAAGCAGGATGTAGGTCTTGAATAAAATCAAAGTGCTGTTATGGAGGTGACGTAGTGTGTGTGTGTGTGTGTGTGTGTGTGTGTGTGTATGTATGTGTATCTCCTCACCACCACCACCACTGTGGGAGAGTGAGGAGGCTAAAAATTGAACAGAAGGAGTCTGCATCATCTCTCTCCCATGGAGCAGCTGCTGGTTTAAACTGTTGACCTTTCACTCAGTAGCCCAGTACGTAGGTTTCTTACATGTGGGTATAGATAGAGCATCAGGAGAGAGAGCAATCTGGTGGTACAGTGCTTGAGTGCTCTCCTACAGGCCCTTAACTAGTTCAAATCCACATCTCACCATAGGGAAAAAAAATAGAACAAACAGCTTCCCCAAAGATAATAATTTGAAATCATAAAGGAAATTATATAGGGAAATTATACTCTGCTCTGATTCTTTGAGTTGGAATCAATTAGAAGACAGCATATTTGGTTTATTTAAAATTGGAAAAATGGTCCAAAGTGTTAATCTTACTAGGGAGTTGCACTGCTACCCAAAGTGGCACTTCTCAGGTGGTTTGAATCCACCAGTGACTCTGCAGGAGAAAGATGGATAGACTCTTCCCACTTTACTTAAAATCTCCAGAAGCCCATTGGAGGATCAGCTCTGAATTGGTTCTGACAGGACAGCAGTGAATTTGAGGGCTTTTTGTAAATCAAATGCAAGATGGAGAGAAAGATAGTTTTTCGTTTTAAATCTCTCTCTCAATGTTTCATAGAATATGATGAAAATAAATATTTAGTCTCACATTTTTTGAAGCTTTGCATCAATAGGGAATGGGAGCTGAGAGCAATGGGTGTTGCGAATCCGGGGAGGGAATGAGTTGTCATTCTCTTGGTAAATAACTAAGGCAACATGAGCAGGATGCTTCATTAACCAGCCAGCAAATGGGAAATGGAGAGTGCAGTGTATTCTCTCCTGCCCCCCCTCTCCTGTCGTGAACATGAGCGACAGATACGGATTCAAAAATGCCGTGTACACTGGTAGATCTCCTCTGCTAAGCCATAAACACTTTTCCTGCATTAGAACAAAAATGTAAGAGGTAGCTAAAACAGCTACCTTAGCCCCCCACTCACCACCACCATCATTGTGCTCCTTTTCTCCCCAAAACTCTGTTACAAAGGAGGCTAAATAGCTCTCCCCATTGTACAGTTGGAATCCCAGAAATTTCATCTAGAGGGTGAGGAGGTGGGTTGACAGACCTGGATAAATTGGAGTTCTGGGGATCTCCCAAGGGCTAAAGACACAACACAGTTTGGTTGCCCATGTGGGAGCTCTGATAACAACAAGTAAGGAATTGCACTGCCAATTGTAAGGTCTTCAGTTCTAATCTACCACCACTCTGAGGGAGAAAGACAGGCAGTCTCCTCCCTTGCAATTTACAGCCTCTGAAATCTGTTGGAGGGTCAGCTATGAGTCCATTTTTTTAAGAACATGTTGTTGTTGTTTTTAAGAACTTTGCATAGCTTTGCCTACTTCAAAAGCAAATATGCCACATTGTTGGAGAATGCAACATTCTACAGGGGGTGGATCATAAGCATATATTTTAAAAGACTAACCTGACAAATCTACTAATAATGTGTCCTGTGTACACAGATATCCTGTCCAGTCTCAACTCCCCGGCCCTGTTTGGGGATCAGGACACAGTGATGAAAGCTATTCAGGAGGCTCGGAAGATGCGAGAACAGATCCAGCGGGAGCAACAGCAACAGCAACCACATGGTGTTGATGGAAAACTCTCCTCCATGAATAATATGGGTCTCAACAACTGCAGGAACGAGAAGGTAAAATTGCGTTTTTTTTTCTCACTGGCTTTGCCAGACCCATTGCCTCTCTGTGTCTGGCACTCTCCAGGCCCCCAAGCTTTAGTCAACAGCCAGAGCATCAGACTTCTACCTTGAGGGCTGTCTTAGATTTTGCTCACATCTGTCTTGTATCACATTCAGGCTATATTACTCATAAACACACTCATTCATTTTCTCCTAGTTGGATTTCCTCCCAGCACCTAACCTAGCTGCCAATTGATATTTTTTTAATCACATTTCAAAAGATTTAGAAGTATCTCATAATAAGGAAGATATATGAGTTCATTACAATATTAACAGTATTTTAAAAGGAGGGAAAAGTTTATCTGCTTCTTATGAACCTCATATGTTTACTATGACTCCTCACTGAATTTAACATTAAGCTTCCTACCAACCAGAGCAAACTTGTCAAAGCAAAACAATTTACAAAATACATTATTTTTAGAGTCAACACATTTTCAATTTAATATCTATTATATAATAAGTACTGTTCTAGGCATTAGAAATACAGCAGTGAACAAATCAGATGAAAATTCCTGTTCTCATAGAGCTTACATCTTACTTGAGGAGCATGGCACTGGAGGAATCAAATCAATATAAGATGCAATAAAGCAACCCTGGTGGCATCATGGTTAAGGGCTTGACTGCTGATTGAAAAACTAGCACTTAGAACACATCCAGTGCTCCCCAGGAGACATGGCCTGGCAGTCTGCTCCCATGAATAAATAGTACCAGCTAGGAAGCCTTATAGGGCAATTCTACTTTGTCCCATAGCATTGCCGTGGGTTGAAAGCAATTCAGAGGCACACACAACAAAATGTGAGACTGAATAAATGTGATAAAGACAATCTAAGTAAGTGATGTGGATAGAGAGTCATGAGTTGTTATTTAAAAGGAAGTGGCAAGGCCTCTTAGAAAGTGGAAGTGAAGAGCGACGTGAATTAAGCACTGTTTCTGACCACATGACGGGCAGGGAGAAGAACATTCCAGACTGCAGGAACAATAAGAAGAGACTCTGAGAATCGGTAACAAGGAGGCCTGCATGATAAATAACAACACAGAGAAGGGAAAGAGGTGGGAAAAGAAAGCAAAATTGGTAACCTAGAACCCTGGGGGCCCTCTAAGGCTTTTATTCTAAAAGTGATGGAAATAATTAGACAGATTTTGTCCCGGGCATTAATATGGTGTGGTTTATAGGTAAAATAATCATTTTAGATATTATGGGAGAATGGACTACAAGAGGTTAAAATTAGAAGCCAGGAGACTAGCAGAGAGGTTATTATAATAGACTGGATGTAAAACTTTGATTATCTAAAAGGATGAAAAATGGAAATTAATCTTATTTAAAGAGATGTAAATATTTTCCCAGAGCTAAATGCTCAGAAATTTCTTTTCACGTGGGAAATTATATACAGAAAAATTAGTGGACAGATATCTTCAGCAACAGTTTAAGAGTAAAGTAAAAAATTATTTCCATTCACATGTTAATTCAGTAAAGCTTGAGAATATAACCCATTTAAGTCAGGAGCAAGAGCCTCCTTTTCATTTCAATCCTTGCTAATTCTGGCACAGGTACAGTAGTGCAGAGACTAGTTTTCATAATCAATCCTACCATCTCCCAGTTCTTGGAAAGATTTTTAAAGTGCCCTGTGAAAGAGGTCAACAGGGGCAGTATGTGCTCCTGCGTGCTCTTACCCAGGCACTGGAATACAGAGCCAAAGTCAGCTGCTGGTTTTGCTTTTATATTTTCTCTCATCAAAAGTTATGACAATATGATAGTCTGAAAATGTGAGATACAGCTTATGGTGAAACCACCTCCACCAGTGATTGTCTCCTTTCCTCTTTGGCCACATTAGACAGCAGAATTGCAGTGTGGAGGGCAGCAGCAGGAGTTTAGGACTATGGTAATATGATGAGAGTCTCAAGGCATGTGATTGAAGCCCTTACACAGACCAAGCTGTTAATTTGACTTCACTCTTAATTCTCAATGTACTGAGTTACTAATATTAAATATATCAGTAAATATCGTAAAGGGGTGTATGTGTGTATGTTTGTGTGTGTGTCTCACTCAGGAAGAGATTGCCCAGATTTGGAGCACCTGGCTGACTTGAACCATGTGCCCTTGGGTTGGCAGTATATCTCCTTACCACTCGGCCACCAGCGTTCTGTCTTGCTCACTTGCTCGCTCTATGAGTGTGTGTGTATACAACTCGATGACACATAACAACCACAAGCACTATCAAGTTGGAAACAACTTATAGCTGATCCTCCAAAAGGTTTTCAGAGGCAGTAAATCACGTGGGAGGAGATTGCCCATTTTTCACCCATATTGTATATTTACAGATATATAAAATATTTATAGTATACAGTATTTACAGATATATAAAAACTCATTTCCATTGAGTTATATAATGGAGGACAGAAGTGAGTCCTTGAAATACTCCAGCAGTTGAGAGCTTAGCTATAGCTGAAATAAAAGGAGTTCATATGTATCCAGAGGTATCTGAGGAAGGTCTTGGCATTCTACTTCTGAGAGATCACAGCTCTTAAGAACACTTTGGACCACAGTTGTCCTCTGGTGTAAGTGGAGATCACCATCAGATGGTGTTGACTTAACAACTGGAGTGTGTGTGTGTGTGTGTGTGTGTGTGTGTGTGTGTGTTCTGTGCTGTTGAGCTTCTCTCACACATGCATGTGCCTCACATCAAACCCATTGTCATTGAGTTGGTTCCTGCTCAGAGTGACTCTCCATTGGGTTTCAAGGCTATAAATCTTTACAGATTTATAAATCTTTTCCCATGGAGCTGCTAGTGGATTTGAACCCCCTGAGAAGCACCCCTTTTGGATTAGCAACTTCCTATGGATTATGGCACCAGTACTACTCATAGGTTATGCACTAGACTACCAGGCGCTTGCGCTCACTCTCTAACTATCTCTCTCACTGTCAAGCTCTCTCTCTCTTTCTTTCTCTCTCTCTCTCTCTGATGTGGGGAAATAATGGACTTTTGGTGTTTATTAGGAAGTCAACTTTGTGTCCTTTGAGATAGTCATGTCGGTCATTGTTTCTGCGCAGTAGGCTAAATGTTCTATTCCCCAATGAGTGTCCCATTCCATTTGAAACCTTGACATTGTCTCACAAAGGCAGAACTTCTTTTTAAGAACTGCCTGAATAGTTTAGTATGTGGTTGCATATTGAGTGTGGTTTCAGAATTATAAGGGAAGAAAAACTGTGCTTTTGAACCTCTCATACTATTCTGTATTAGAATGCTTGAGTCATTCTCTTGATCCAAGATACTGCCATCTGCTTGATAAAAGCACCAAGAAAGAATAACAAATTTAATGTCACTGTGAATACCTGTGTAAGATCCTTCTTTGGGATCTAGGTAAATGAACAAGTTTTGGAAGAAGGATACTGAGAGAGGTATTGAATTAAAAACAGGGGAATGGGTGCACACACTAGCACTCATTACTACCTTACAATTATACCAAAACTTCGTGGTATAATTAGTTCATGAAGTCTGTTGGTTATTTAATTCCCCTTTTCCTTTTATTCCCCAGTTTTTAAATGAAAAGCAATATATGCATGAAGAAAATTCTAGTGACACAGGAGATAGACATGAAAGGCTAATCATCCTCACTAGCCCATTAACTATCATTAATGATTTATAAAGTTTCTTTATGTGTTAATATTGTTACTGTTGTTATGTGCTGTTGAGTTGGAATCAACTCATAACTGACCCTCCAGTGGGTTCTTTAAACCTATATATCACACAGGAGGAGATTGCCTTTCTCCCTCAGCATAGCTGGTGGATTTGAACCACTAGTCTTTGGACTGGCAGCACAGCTCCTTACCCACCAGGTCACCAGAGCCTTCTTAATAACCTTTAATATTTTAAAAAAATTCTTTGTATATTCTATATAGTGTTAGTTTCAGACTATAGATTCTCACTTGGAAGAGTAGTCACAGAGTTGAAATAATGGTCACAGCTGTGTGAGACTGGGCAAGGTGATTAACCTCTCAGAACCTGATCTGATAATAAATAGTCTGTGATATAATGAAGGAAGATATATGTAAATGCTCCTAGCAAGTTCCTCTTAGAGGGGGCTATTATTATTAGTCAACTGTGGTTCCTAGTGACCTTATGAACAACAGATTGCAAACTTGCCTGATTCTAGTACAGTGTAGGCATTTCCTTATCTCAATGTGGGTTTTTTTTATATGAAAGTATTTTTATAGTAATACAAAGTTAGACATTAAACTGACAATGTACAGATGTAATATAACTTGCTGATCATATGGAGGTAGGCAAAAAATTAATTTTGACCCCTGCCTTACTTCACACATCTTAAACCTATGGCAAAACCTAGAACTATAAAGGTTTTAAATTAAAACAAGGAGATTATCTTAACAAATTGGAGGAAGGCAAAGGTGTCTTAGCAAGATAACCATAAGACAAGGAAGACCTTTGAATATATATAATGAATATACTACTTTTGCACAAAAAAAAATCCTCATTTAATAATAGAAGAGTCAAAAGGCAATGCAGATTTTTCAAATGTTGGTCTATTGGCCAAATCATAATTATTTTAACATTTTCCAAATGGAGTTAATGCACACAGCTAAGGAAACTTTCAAATCCTATAAGTATACTGCAAATTTCTTATGTTAAATCAAGGCTTTTCAACCTGGGCATTATTGACATTATTGACATTTTGGTTAAATGAGCCTTTGTCATTAAAGGCCACCTGATTATCTCTTACTAACTGCCACTACACCTCCATTGTGAGTGCCAGGCATATTTTGTGCTCGCTAAAATGAAATGTCTCCAGATATTTACAGATAGCAACCTGGTAAAAACCAAACCTGAGTGTTCTGTACATAGTATATTTACATAGCATACATTTCAGAACATCATTTCATATACAAAAATGCCACTTAAATAACCATCCTGATAATAAAATGAGGGTGCTCTGGTGGT